CAGATGAGGGGAAGGCGGGCGTCGCAGGAGAAGCCCCCTTCAGGCAGGTCATCCACAGGCCGGTCCAGGTCAGCCTCGAGAGCTAAGGAGAACCTCCCTCCTTCTCGCGGCGACTCCGAGTACGAGAGGGAAGTAGGAGGCGAAGAGGAGGAAGAGGACGCAGAAGAGGGGGCGAGAGGAGGCCGCAGACGAGGCAGCGACGAGCAGCAAGATGACCTGGCAGGAGATGGATGCCTTAATGTTTCTCGTCTGGCTGGGCAGGTGAGGGGCGGCGTCTGGGGATCAACGGGTGTTTGAGGGTCATGAATAAAGTGTGTGTGTGTGTGTGTGTGTTTTGTGTCATTGTGTATACTTGCGTACATGTTTATGTGTGTGTGTTTATGTTTGTGTGTGTGTGTGTATGCGTGTGTGTGTGTGTGTGGGTGTGTGTGTCTATGTTTGTGTGTGTGTGTATGTGTGTGTGTGTGTGTGTGTGTGTGTGTGTGTGTGTGTGTGTGTGTGTGTGTGAAGAACATTTTCCGCTCATATCCGGAAATGACCATAGACTCCTTGCCATACCTTCGCAAGCGATGTCTCAGGAGCGGAAACGTGTTGAAATGAGGTCACAGACGCCACAATGTAAATTAGGTGACTTTCCTGATATCCTAAAGTGAGTTAAATCCATCTAATTATTGTCATCCTTATGGAAAGCTTTTGTAGTGCTTTGTCAGGAGTGCCTCAGTATGCTCCTGCCTTTCCTCATTGTGATGTTTTATTCTCTTTCTCTTTTCTTTGTATTCTAATACTGGCTCCTTCTCTTCCTCCCCCCCTTCCCCGTCAGGTGCTGGGGAAGGGGGGAGGGGGGATGATGCGAGTGGGGATCCTGCCCGCCTTCACGAAGGGCAGCAAGACGGCCTCGCTGCCCCGCCACGCCACAGTCATGTCGTCGCGGGGCTCCCACACCCCCGAGCTCCCTTCGTCCGCTGCCCCCACGCCCCCGCCGACGCCCGAACGACAGCCTTCGACGGCTCCGACGCCTCCGCCCACGCCCTCCAGTGCCCACAGGCCGCCCGTGCCCGAGTCCCCGAAGCCGAAGATCAAGGGCGCGGGCGGACAGAAGCGCGCGGCCTCCGTGTCCCCGGCGAGGGACAAGAGGCGCTCCTTGCGAGGCCTTTCGAGGGACCGCTTCCCGCAGCTGCCCCACCTGCCGTCCATGCCCAAAGTGCCCTCCATGCCCAAAGTTCCGACAATGCCCAAAGTTCCTGCAATGCCTAAAGTTCCTCCGATGCCCAAAGTCCCGTCGATGCCCAAGATGCCCGCCATGCCCAAGATGCGACCATTGCCGCGCGCGCCCTCGCTCCCGCCTCAGCTGAGGAACCTCCTGGGGCGGCGCGAGGGCGGGGGCAGCGAGTCCCGCGACGACAACCCCAGCAAGCCGTCGCGCCGCCCGGGCCCCGTCGGCCGCACGTGGGTCAAGGTCTACGACGACATCACCTTCATGGACGACGACAAAGACAACGAGCTGTACCCCGTCCTGGCCTACACAGGTCGCCCTCAGAGCGTCCCCGAGGCCGCCCCTCTCCCCATGGCGCCCACGCCCCCTCCTCCGCGCTCGCACGGCCGCCAGCCCTCCGTCGAGAGCGAGTACGACAATGTGGTGAAGGAGGAGCTGCAGCGGGTGGTGCCCCAGGACAGCCCCAGGGACGTCCCCCCCGCCCAGGGACGTGGCAGGGATAGGTTCCGAGGACGTCGCCAGAAGAGGACCGACACTCCCATTACCGTAGGACAGCCAGGGCCCGATGACGAGGCCGAAGAGGCCCGCATGACTGCGCTCGAGGCCCAGATCCTAACCTCAGCCTCGAGTTCGGCGCAGAAGGAGGAAGAGGAGGACTACATCATCCCCCAGGCCCTCAAGCCTCACAAGCCACCTCGAGGCATCAAAATCTACGACAACATTGAGATTAAGCCCGCCGAGGCTCAGCCTACTCCTGCAGAAGAGGACGAGCCCGTGAAGCCCCAACGCGGCATCAAGGTCTATGAAGAAGTGATCATACGACGTCAGCAAATCGAGAAAGAAATGGAAGAGATGAAAGAAGCACAGAAGATAGAGGAAGAGAGAAGAGAGCAAGAAAGAATAGAGCAAGAGAAACAAGAGGAGGAGAGAAGAGAGCAGGAGAAGAGAGAGGAAGAGAGAAGAGAAGCGGAAAAGAGGGAGGAAGAGCGAAGGGAAGCGGAGAAAAGAGAGGAGGCGAAGGCAGATGCCATGGAGTGTGACGAAGCCGCCCTCCCGCCTCGGCCACAAAGAGGTATCAAGGTCTACGAGTCCATCCTTCTGAAGCCGAGTGAGAAGGCCAAGACGGAGAAGACAGAGGAGAAGGCAGAAGAAGAGAGGAAAGACGAAGAAAAGAAAGAAGAAAAAGCAGGAAGGACAGAATACACCTTCCAAACGACGATGGAGCAGACGGTAGAAGTGATGGATGTGTCGGCGGTCGGAGGAGGAGAAAGCACGAAGAAAGAGACGGAAGAAAAAGAGGAAGAGAAGGAAGAGGAGTTGACCCCCTCCAGGCCGTCCCGAGGGAACAAGGTGTACGCCGCCGTCCTCATCCAGCGCCACGACGCGAGCGACCAGGCCGTCGTCTCGCAGGTCACCCTCACCTCCACCTCCTCCACCACCACGACAACCACGTCCGAGGTCAAGGCCATCGATAGCGAGACAGCCGAGGTCAAAGTTCAAGAAGTCAAGGTGAGCGAAGGCGAAGCGGCGGAGGTCAAGGTCGACTCGGTAGACAAAGAGGTAGTGAAAGTCGATGCAGAAGTCAAGGTTGATACAGAGACAAAGGCTGAGCAGGTCGAGGCAGAGCCCAAAGTCGAGGCAGAGTCCAAGGTTGAGACAGAGCCCAAGGTCGAGACAGAGCCCAAGGTCGAGGCAGAGTCTAAGGTCGAGGCAGAGTCCAAGGTCGAGGCCGAAGTGAAGGTAGACACAGACGCCAAGGCTGAGCCGGAGAAGACCTCCGAAGACGTTGACGCAGATCAGAACAAGGTTCCTCCCTACGCCCGCGTTCACAAGAGCGGGGGCGTGAAGGAGCTACGCCCGCTGACAGCCGAGGAGGACGACGAAACGCCGCCGCCCATCCCGCCCAAGAAGAAGGGCTTGAGGACCATCTCGCCACAGACCCTTGAGGCTGAGCCGCCCCGCCCTCCGCGCCACCTCAAGCCCCGACTGAAGAAGTCGCAGCAGGTCCTCTTGGTGAATGGCGAAGTCTCGTCGCCGTCACGCCCCCCTCGCGGCTCCAAACTCTACGCGAGCGTAGAGGTCACGCCCGCGCCGCCCAAACGCCACTCCAAGGTCGTCCGCATCGAGGAGGTGGTCACACACATCAAGGACGACATGCTGGACGCGTCCGCTCCCGCCCGCGCACGCCCAGTCAAGCCCTTGCGGCACGCACACGCCCACCACGACCCGCCCCCGCGCCGCAAGAAGCTCCGCACCAGCGAGGGCGACGAGGGCGACGACGGGGGCGCCGTGAAGGCTAGGCTCACTGTCGACCCCACTCGACCGAACGCCAAGGTCGACCTCAGCGCCGACTTCGAAAACTACGAGAATGTGGATCTGAGCGAGACGCGGCCGCAAGCCACGACCAGATCCCGCACGCGACCTCTGCCTCCCCCGCCGCCGCCGCCCAAGAAAGGCAAGATCCAGCAAAGACACCAACAACTCATGCAGCAACAACAACAACAAAAAACATCAACACAAGCTGAATCAACTGAGCGCCAGGGCAGCCAACCTCTCCGTGGCGCGGCCGCCGCGTGCGCTGACACAGGGACCGGGAGCGGCGCGGTTGGTACGCCGGGCGAGGAGGCGGGGCCATCTCAGCGCAATCACGTCGTCAGTGTCACTTCAGCCTCAGCGACGATAAGAGCAGGTGCGAAGGGGACGCACCCCGACGGCAGCAGGCTTGAGACGGACATCGATGACAACCTCAAGACCATCGAGAGTTCGTTCGCCACTCTAGACACGGTGTTGAAGTCGCTGCAGAACTACTCGCAGACTTCCCCAAGGCGAGTGCTGCTGGGCGAGGGAGGAGAGGGTGCCACCAGTGCTCTACCCACCTCCGCCGACGCTGCCGCCACAGCTGTCTCGCAGGAGGGCCCTGCCTCCCCCCACGCCCCTCCTCCCCCCACCCCCGCTCAGCAGGAGCAGGGGAAAGACACAAGCACACATGATGTAAGCCAGCAGGGCGACCAGGAGGCGAGGAGTGAGAGGCAAGAGGAGGGCAAGGCGCGGGAGAGCGCGGGAGAGGCGGCGACAGCAAAGGAACAATCAGCTGATGCGAGCCCCGCCCCCGTCCCCACCCCGGCTGACAGCCCCCCCAAGGTTGATGCTGCGGCCCACGTGACAAGCACTGAGAGTGAAGTGAAGTCCGAAGTGATCGCTGAAGTGAAGTGTGACTCACAGGCTGAAGTGAAAGTGCTCGAGGCTGAAGTGAAAGAAGTGCAATTAGACGTGAAAGAGGCACATGTCGAGGTAAAATTAGATCAGCCTGTAGTAGAAGAGGTTCAGGCACAGCCTGTAGCGAGTGATATTCAGGAAGTCAAAGCTGAAGTGAAGGTAGAACAATCTCAGCTGAAGGAAGCCAAGGAGGAGCTACCTGAAGTGAAGGCTGCTCTTCCTGAAGTGATCAGTGTTCTCCCTGAAACGATAGAACCACAAGTTGCGGTGCAGGAACCAGAAGTAATACAGGCAGAAGCAGTACCTGAAGTACAGGCCGAGGCGAAGGTAGAAGAGAAGGAAACAACGCAAGAGAAAAAGGAAGAAGAGCAGAAGGAAACGACAGCAGAAGAACAAAAGGAAACGACAACAGAAGTACAGAAAGAAGCGAAAGCAGACGAACAGAAGGAAACGACAGCTGAAGAAGAACAGAAGGAAGGAGCAGCAGCAGGAGAAGAAGCGAAGAAGAAGAAGAAGAGGAGGAGCTCCGCGAAATCGGAAGGGAAGACGGTATTCCAGACCCTGTACCAGGTGGACGCCCTCAAGAAGGAAATCAACAAGGCAAAATCGACGTCGACAGAGGAAGGAGAGAGAGCCGAGCAAGGGAAGGACGGAGAACAAGAACACGCAGAGGAAGTCAAAGTAGAAGAACAAACGAAGTCTGAAGAAGTTCAGGCCGAAGAAACAGCCACAGCTGAGGCGAAGGTCGAGGAACTAAATAAACCTGGAGAAGAAAAGACTGAAGAACAAGATAAGACAGTAGAAGTTAAAACTGAAGAAGTGAACGTTGAAGAACAGGTGAAAACTGAAGAAGCAGAACAGGTGGAAGCAAGGAGTGAACACACTGCTGAAGAAGTAAAGGTTGATGAACAAGGTAAGACTGAAGAAGAAAAAGAAGATGGAACTAAACAAATTGAAGTCGAAGAAGTGAAGGAAAGAACAGATGAACAAACTGAAGAACAAGCGCATGCAGTAGAAAGAGAACCAGAAAGTATAGAAAGTCAAACAAAAGCTGAAGAACAGAAAGTAACCACAGACGAAGAGACGAAAACTACAGAGAGAAGAGAAGAGACGATCGAGGAACAAAGAGAAGAGAGAGAGACAGAGCAGAAAACAGAAGAGAGTGCGGCTTCACGAGACCTCGAAGCTTCGCAGGAAGAGAGAAAAGAAGAGACGAAAGAACAGGAGGAAGAGAAAAAGGACACAAAAGAACAGGAGGAAGAGAAAAAGGAGACGAAAGAGCGAGAGGAAAGCGAAAGAGGCGCGCCCCCAGCACCGGTGGGCGAAGATCTCGCCTCCAGACTGGAAGGTATTCGAACCGCGCTCGAGAGTGTTATTTGCAACCTTCCAGACTCCTCCACTTCCTCCTCATCCTGCACCGCTAACACCGCTGGGCCAGCTGCATCTGCATCTGCATCTGCATCTTCTACCACCTCTGCACCCGCCGCTAACAACGGTAACAGTGTGGATGGCTTGCCCCCGCCCACTAACCCACAGGCCACGCCCTCTAACATAACTGACCAAGGTGGCGTCGAGGCGAAGGAGGGAGAGAAGGACGGCATCCCCGCCCCTTCGAGTCCACCTGTTGTAGCCACGCCCCCTAGAACATCCCTGAGTGCGTTTGATGATAATAACTTTGATAACCGTGTTAGTTGTGTTAGTGATACTAGCGAAGCCTCTGGACCCCCTGGCCTTCCCGCCGAACTAAAACCCCTTCCCCGAAACCCCCCCGACTGCCCGGAGCCCCCTGGTCAGAGTGGTGACGCCCGTTCTCCTTCCACCACTGAGACTGACACTATCCTAACCCGTGGTGAAACCCGTACAACAAACACCCCTGAAGCCTCACACCATTCACACAGTTGCACGGAAGCTTTTGACACCCCGGTGAGTAGAACGACTCCTCTTAGTGAAGCTTCAACTACACTTCCACAGACCGCAGACTTAATCAAAGACTCGACAGGCATTGACAATGAGGCGTTAGTCAACATCAGTCACCCGACAGTTTCAGTTAGAGAAGCCCCATATAGTGAAGCCTCAAACGAAAGTAATAAGAGTCTAGGTGTAGCTGATAGCCTAGGTGTAGCTAGTGAAATCCCAAACACAAGTAGAGAGAGTTCAGACACTCTTTCAGAATACACAGGCACTCTGACAGTAGCTATTTACACTGAAACCCCGCACACAATTCTAAAAACCTTCGACACAACAGACACTGACACTGGAATTGTTGACACTGTTAATGAACCCCCTCACACTGACAATAAACCTCTTGAAACTCGTATTGAAACTTCAGATACTGCCATTGAAGCCCAAGACACCTTAAAATTTCATGGCGCCGTAAGTGAAACACAAGACACAGTTGCAGTAGCTGACGATACTAGTACTACAGTAACCCTAGACAGTGCTGAAAGCGAAACTCAGGATATTACTAGAATAAACTCGGTAGAAAACCAAGCCTTAGACACTATAAGGGAGGACAGACATTTTGGTAGTGAAGCTCCAGACACTGTTAGTGAAAACACAGACACCGTTTTAGAAACCACAGACATTGTTAGAGAAACTACAGACACCGTTAACGAAATTACAGACACAGTTAGAGAATCAACAAACACTGTTAGTGAAGCTACAGATGCAGGCACTGAAAACACGGGCACTACTAGTGTAGACACATTTAAAGAAACCACCGACACCGTTAGCGAAACTACAGATATAGTCAGTGAAACTATAGATATTGTTAGTGAAACCACAGACACTGCTAGTGTAGCCACATATATAGGCAGAGATATAATCGACACTGCTTGTGAAACCAGAGACACTGCTATTGGATTCACAGACACTGGTAAAGAAACTACAGACATTGTTATAGAAACAATAGACACTGCTAAAGAAACCACAGACACTGCTAGTGGAGCCATAGACAGTGCTACTGACACCACAAACAACGTTATTGAAACCACACACGCTGTTACAGAAACCACAGACACTGTTAGAGAAAACGCAGACACTGTTTGTAAAATCACAGGCACTGCTAGTGAAACCAAAGACACTGTTACAGAAACCACAGACGCTGTTAGAGAAACCGCAGACACAGTTAGTGAAGCCACAGACACTGTTACAGAAACCATAGACGCTGTTATTGAAACCACAGAGACTGTTAAAGAAACCACAGACACTTTTAGAGACACCACAGACACTGTTAGTGAAACCGCAGATACTGTTACAGAAACTAGAGACACTGTTAAAGAAACCACAGACACTGTCAAGGAAACTGCTACAGATATTGCCAGTGAAACTATAAATATTATAGGTGAAACCACAGACACTGTTAAGGAAACCACAGACCCTGTAAGTGAAACCACAGACACTGTTAGAGAAACCGCAGACACTGTCAGTCAAATCACAGACACAGTTAAAGAAACCACAGACACTGTTAACGAAACCACAGACACTGTTACAGAAACCACAGACACTGTTACAGAAACCACAGACACTGTTACAGAAACCACAGACACTGTTACAGAAACCACAGACACTGTTAAAGATACCACAGACACTGTTAACGAAACCACAGACACTGTTACAGAAACCACAGACACTGTTAACGAAACTACAGAAACCACAGACACTGTTACAGAAACCACAGACACAGTTAAAGAAACCACAGACACTGTTAACGAAACCACAGACACTGTTACAGAAACCACATACACTGTTAACGAAACTACAGAAACCACAGACACTGTTACAGAAACCACAGACACAGTTAAAGAAACCACAGACGCTGTTACAGAAACCACAGACACTGTTACAAAAAATACAGACACTGTTAACGAAACCACAGACACTGTTTGTGAAACCACAGATACTGTTAAAGAAACCACAGACACTGTTAAAGAAACCACAGACACTGTCAAAGAAACCAAAGACACTGTAAATGAAACCACTGACACTGTTAGAGAAACCACAGAAACAGCCAGTGGAGCCACAGACACAGTTAGTAATACCACAGACACTATTAGTGAAACCACAGACGTTGTTAGGGAATCAACAGACACTGTTATCGAAACCACAGACACAGCCAGTAAAGCCACGGACACAATTAGAGACAATGACACTGTTAGTGTAGGTGACACCACAGCTGCTGTTAGAGAAACCACAGACACTGTTAGAGAAATCACATATATTATTGGAGAAACCACCGACACTGTTAGTGAAACCAGAGACGTTGTTGTTGAAACCACAGACACTGTTGAAGAAACCACAGACACTGCTAGAGAAACCACAGACACTGCTAGAGAAACCACAGACACCATTGCTTTAGAAACCACAGATACTGTTAAAGAAACGGAAGATACTGTTGAAGAAATCACAGGGACTGTTAGTGAGACTACAGACGCTGATAGAGAAACCACAGACATTAAACATCGAGTCTCCGTTAGTGAGACTACGGATACTGTAGGCCAATCCCCACACCTTGTTAGAGAAACCACATTCACTGTCAGCGAAGCCTCAAACACTGTGGATAAAATAGGTACAGACAAAGTAGATTCGGGCAAAGTTCCAAACCCTGTTAGTGAAACCCCGGAGTTTGAAATCCAAGACACGGTTAGTGAATCCACAGAATTTGAAACCTTAGATACTCTTAGTGAAACCCCCGATTTTGAAACTTTGGACAATGTTAGTGAATTTACAGATTATGAAACACTAGACACTCTTAGTGAAACCACAGATTTTGAAACCCTTGATAATTTTAGCGAGTCTGCAGAATTTGTAACATTAAACACCCTTAGCGAAACCCCAGATTTTGAAACCTTGGATAACGTTAGTGAGTCCACAGATTTTGGGACTTTAGAGTCTGTCAGTGAAACAGATTTCGATCCACTTGAAGTTGAACCCATAGACAGTGGCAGTGAAACCCCGGAATTCAAAACGCACGACACGAGTAGCGAAACCCCAGACGTAGTTAGAGAAACCTCCCAGACTGAAACTGCAGAGTGTCTTACTAAAGAAACCCCAGATATTGTTAGTGAAACCCCAGACATCAATACACAAGAATCTGCAAGCGAATTACCAAACACTGTAAGTGAAGCCTTAGAATCTGTTAGACAGGGATCAGACACTGTTAATGAAACCGCAGTTATTGTTAGTGAAACCCTAGGCACTGTAAGCGATACTGCAGCTATTGTTAGTGAAGCCCCAAACACTGTAGGCGAGACTGTAGTTACTGTTAGTAAAGCCTCAGACATTGTCAGTAGGGCCCAAGACACCGTAAGCGAAACTGCAGCTGTTGTTAGTGAAGCCTCAGACACTGTTAGTGAAATTATAGGCACTTGTAGTAAGACCCCAGACATTGTTAGCGAACCCACAGAGACTGATTCCCCTGCTCTTGTTAGTGAAACCCCAAACACTATTAGGGACACCACAGAAACTGCTAGTGAAGCCTCAGACATTGTCAGGGAAGATACAGAGATTACTAGTGAAGCCTCAGACTGTACTGTGGGGGGGGGGGGGGGGGGGGGGGGGGGGGGGGGGGGGGGGGGGGGGGGGGGGGGGGGGGGGGGGGGGGGGGGGGGGGGGGGGGGGGGGGGGGGGGGGGGGGGGGGGGGGGGGGGGGGGGGGGGGGGGGGGGGGGGGGGGGGGGGGGGGGGGGGGGGGGGGGGGGGGGGGGGGGGGGGGGGGGGGGGGGGGGGGGGGGGGGGGGGGGGGGGGGGGGGGGGGGGGGGGGGGGGGGGGGGGGGGGGGGGGGGGGGGGGGGGGGGGGGGGGGGGGGGGGGGGGGGGGGGGGGGGGGGGGGGGGGGGGGGGGGGGGGGGGGGGGGGGGGGGGGGGGGGGGGGGGGGGGGGGGGGGGGGGGGGGGGGGGGGGGGGGGGGGGGGGGGGGGGGGGGGGGGGGGGGGGGGGGGGGGGGGGGGGGGGGGGGGGGGGGGGGGGGGGGGGGGGGGGGGGGGGGGGGGGGGGGGGGGGGGGGGGGGGGGGGGGGGGGGGGGGGGGGGGGGGGGGGGGGGGGGGGGGGGGGGGGGGGGGGGGGGGGGGGGGGGGGGGGGGGGGGGGGGGGGGGGGGGGGGGGGGGGGGGGGGGGGGGGGGGGGGGGGGGGGGGGGGGGGGGGGGGGGGGGGGGGGGGGGGGGGGGGGGGGGGGGGGGGGGGGGGGGGGGGGGGGGGGGGGGGGGGGGGGGGGGGGGGGGGGGGGGGGGGGGGGGGGGGGGGGGGGGGGGGGGGGGGGGGGGGGGGGGGGGGGGGGGGGGGGGGGGGGGGGGGGGGGGGGGGGGGGGGGGGGGGGGGGGGGGGGGGGGGGGGGGGGGGGGGGGGGGGGGGGGGGGGGGGGGGGGGGGGGGGGGGGGGGGGGGGGGGGGGGGGGGGGGGGGGGGGGGGGGGGGGGGGGGGGGGGGGGGGGGGGGGGGGGGGGGGGGGGGGGGGGGGGGGGGGGGGGGGGGGGGGGGGGGGGGGGGGGGGGGGGGGGGGGGGGGGGGGGGGGGGGGGGGGGGGGGGGGGGGGGGGGGGGGGGGGGGGGGGGGGGGGGGGGGGGGGGGGGGGGGGGGGGGGGGGGGGGGGGGGGGGGGGGGGGGGGGGGGGGGGGGGGGGGGGGGGGGGGGGGGGGGGGGGGGGGGGGGGGGGGGGGGGGGGGGGGGGGGGGGGGGGGGGGGGGGGGGGGGGGGGGGGGGGGGGGGGGGGGGGGGGGGGGGGGGGGGGGGGGGGGGGGGGGGGGGGGGGGGGGGGGGGGGGGGGGGGGGGGGGGGGGGGGGGGGGGGGGGGGGGGGGGGGGGGGGGGGGGGGGGGGGGGGGGGGGGGGGGGGGGGGGGGGGGGGGGGGGGGGGGGGGGGGGGGGGGGGGGGGGGGGGGGGGGGGGGGGGGGGGGGGGGGGGGGGGGGGGGGGGGGGGGGGGGGGGGGGGGGGGGGGGGGGGGGGGGGGGGGGGGGGGGGGGGGGGGGGGGGGGGGGGGGGGGGGGGGGGGGGGGGGGGGGGGGGGGGGGGGGGGGGGGGGGGGGGGGGGTGTTACTGAGGCTAAAAGCACCCTTAGCGAAGCAGCTTTAAGAATAACCCCTTACATCGTCAGAGACAATTTAAACACAGTATTAGACGCCCTGGACTCTGTTCAGAAAACTTTGGGCGCTGTAGGTAAAACCTCTGACACTGTTAGAGAATATCCACCAGTTGCTATTAGTGAAGCCCCAATTACCGTTAGTGAAGCCTCACATACTGTTAGCGAAGCCTCGCATACCGTGAGTGAGGCTTCAACAGCTGCTTCTGTAGACACCCAAAGTGTAACCACCACAGACCCCCAACCTCCTTCCCCTGGGGCCGTCGCCAGTGCTTCCGAAACCCCTCCTGCTTCCCCGGGACCCTTTGTCGACGACCACACTCTCACCACCACCACTTCCACCACTACTTCCGGGTACGACCATCGCAACGACCTCCTCGCCCAGCGTGAGTCGCGACCTTCTGACGCGAACTGGAACCTCTTCAACGGAAGTGGTGCGTTGACTGGGTGTTCTCTGGTAGCCTGTGTCGTAGAGGTGATTGCATCCCTAGACTGTAACGTAGACTGGCTCGAGAGAGTGTGGCTTTTCTTAGACTGTAGCTCGGATATGTGCCACGATACAGTGCTTTTGTCTGCCTGTAGCAACGTAGTTGTGTTGTTCAACGAGCCCTTAACCTGTAGTGTAGACGTGTGTCGGTGTATGGTTTCCTTAGGCAGCATTAATCTGAACACAACGCGAGCCAGAAGTGGCTTTTGGGTGCTGACAGGAGCTACCTGTGCCACCTGCCACAGGGACATCCGGTGCCGCGGTAGAACGGGGGAGGAAAACGGAGCCAGAACGGGAAGGAAAAGTGTGTACAGAGATAAAGGCTGAAGAAAAACAAAATTAATAGTGAAACATTTTGATTTGAGTTTTTTAGACGGCGAAACACCTATCGCACGATAGGGTCGAGTAAGGGCACCCTGGAGAGGTCACGTGACTCGCCCTCGACCCACCACCACCTCGGCCTCGAGGACGACCCTCTGGACGACCCGAGGCTGAGCGTGGCGGCGTTGCG